CAGGCTTCCTTGTCTACCACCATCTCCAGGAGCTTGCTCAAACTCACGTCCATTGAGTCAGTGACTCAATGGTCCATCCAACCATTTCATCCTCTATTGTCCCCTTCTCCTGCCTTCAATCTTTCCCAGTATCAGGGTCTTTTTCAATGAGTCAGTTCTTCACATGAGGTAGCCAAAGTACTCGAGCTTCAGCTTCAGCATCAGTCCTTCCAATGAATATTCAGGACTGATTTCCTTTAGGGTTGACTGATTTGATCTCCCTGAAGTCCAAGGAACTCTCAAGAGTCTTCTCCAACACTACAGTTCAACACTACAGTTCAACACTACAGTTCAATTCTTCAGTGCTCAGTTTTCTTTATAGTCCAACTCTCATATCCATACATAACTACTGGAAAAACCATAGCTTTGACTAGACAGACCTTTTTAAGCAAAGTAATGTCTCTGCTTTTTAATATGCTGTCTAGTTGGTCATAGGTTTTCTTCCAAGGAGCAAGCATCTTTTAATTTCATGGCTGAAGTCACCATCTGCAGTGATTTTGGAGCCCAAGAAAATAAAGTCTGTCACTGTTCCCATTGTTTCTACATTTATTTGCCATGAAATGATGGGGCCAGATGTCATGATATTAGTGTTTTTTGAATGTTGAGTTTTAAGCCAGCTTTTTCACTCTGCTCTTTCACTTTCATCAGAAGGCTCTTTAGTTCCTCTTCACTTGCTGCCATGAGGGTTGTGTCATCTGTGTATCTGAGGTTATTGATATTTCTCCTGGCAATCTTGATTTCAGATTGTGTTTCATCCAACCTGGCACTTCACATGATGTACTCTACACGTAAATTAAATAAGCAGAGTGGTATATACAGCCTTGATGTACACCTTTCCCAGTTTTGATACAGTCTGTTGTTCCATGTCTGGTTCTAACTGTTGCTTCTTAACAAGCATCCAGATTTCTCAGGAGGCAGGTAAGGTGGTCTGGTATTCCCATCTCTTTAAGAATTTCCCACAATTTGTTGTACACAGTCAAAGGTTTTAGCATAGTCAATGAAGCAGAAGTAGATGTTTTCCTGGAATTCTCCTGATTTTTTCTGTGATCCAGCGGATGTTGGCAATTTGATTTCTGGTTCCTCTGCTTTTTCTAAATCCAACTTGAACATCTGGAATTTCTCAGTTCACATACTGTTGAAGCCTAGCTTGGAGGATTTTGAGCATTACTTTGCTAGCATGTGAGATGACTGCAGTTGTGTGGTGATTTGAACATTCTTTGGCATTGCCTTTCTTTGAGATTGGCTTGAAAACTTACCTTTACCAGTCCTGTGACCACTGCTGATTTTCCAAATTTGCTGGCATATTGAGTGCATCACTTTCACAGCATCATGTCTTAGGATTTGAAATAGCTCAGTGGGGATTCCATCACCTCCACTAGAATCACTATGAACAAGCTTTGGAGCCATCTGAAAATCAATCTATTAGATAACGCTGGTCCATTGAAGTTGTCTTTTACTCAATCTCCTCACTCCAGAGCAACAGAAGGAAAGAGATTGTAAACACTGAAATGTTTAGAATTTCTGATTTGTTTGAATCCTGAACTACTTCCTGGTCCCTCATGTCACAGCTCTTTTGACCAAATCAGAACAAGGACTCTATTAATACTGTCACCATAGAATATCAGTGGCAATTCACTGCCTGTCAGGTGTCCATGATTTAGCAAATGCCACCTTTGGACTGTGAAGAAGGCTGGGTGCCAAAAAATTGATGCTTTTAAACTGTGGTGTTGGAGAAGACTCTTAAGAGTCCCTTGAACTGCAAGAAGATCCAGTGAGTCCATTCTAAAGCAGATCAGTCCTGGGTGTTCATTGGAAGGACTGATGCTGAAGCTGAAACTCCAATACTTTGGCCACCGCATGTGAAGAGCTGACTCATTGGAAAAGACCCTGATGCTAGGAGGGATTGGGGGCAGGAGGAGAAGGGGACGACAGAGGATGAGATGGCTGGATGACATCACCTACTTGATGGACATGTGTTTGAGTAAACTCTGGGAGCTGGTGATGGACAGGGAGGCCTGGCGTGCTGTAATTCATGGGGTCGCAAAGAGTCAGACACGACTGAGCGACTGAACTAAACTGACTGACTGACCTTTGTACTGGGCATTGGGTTTCTATCTATCCCCTTCCTATATTATTTTGGGATAGGAACATTTCTTTCCTTCTCAGAGGAAGAAATCACTCTGAAACATGAACATGCTAGCTTTATATTCCAAGACTCACTGAATTTCCTAATAACTTCAGCCCTTGTAGATGGACATTCATTTCTGGTCCTTCCATCTGTTCCTGCCTACTCCCATACCTGTAGCCTCCTTTATAGGTAAACACACCAGGGGTAAATACAGTCCCCTTCCTTCATAGGAGAATCTCCTTCACTCTCTCTTCTACTTGTGTGCAAGACATTCTATCTAAAACTACAATCAGTACATAAGTCATATGTTTATCCTAGACAAGTTCTTTAAATTCCTTTTAATGCTATCCAGAATTGTATATACATTTAAGTATTTCAAACTTTATGGCTTGTATTCAGCTTTTGGCTTACTATAGAAAACAGATCTTTTATTTCTATGTATTTTCTATGTTATATTATTATAACTCAGTTTGTAAGGGCATGGCTTTTCTTTGTATTTTATGTCTAAAACTATTTAGAATTTTCAGAGATTTACCTGTATCCTGTAATTCACTATGATCACAGATTCAATTCTTATTCAATATATATACAACCAAAAGACCTTGTTTCATCAAGATTCTGCAAAGCCTTTGTAACAAATATACATATTGTTCAAATGATCATGATTAGTTTTGTTTTGGACCCTTGAAATTTGACAGTAAGAAAACTCATTGCAGGTGTCTGTGATAAAATTCAATTTTCCTCCTATTGTGAAAGTATTTTTCCTTTGAAATAAATATTTATTTTTTCCATTATCACTCCAATCTTAAACAAATTTGATGGATTAGATATTAAATACTGAATCTTTCTTTTTTCACCCTCTCTTTACAAAAGAAATTATGTTTTTGCTCATTTTCAGAGATGTCTTCAAGATGGTTTCCCCATGGTAACTATTTTCTGTAGAAATATCTCTTGGCAAATACCATGCAATTATGTTATCAGCTAAATAGCTTGTCAGTACTGCAAGTAAACAGACTGATAGCAGAAAATTTGCAAGTTTGGGAAAGATTTATATTTGTTGAGAAGTGAGAAATATACTTCACTCTTCCCTTCAAGACAAACAAGCATGATACTTTTATGGATCACAATAGTATGCAATACAGTTTTAAAATTCTCTTTGTGATAATATTATCCTGAGTGATTAGGTGAAAGGAAAGCACATGTCAGTCTGAATTTGGGGAAATGTTCAACAAACTTTATCATGCTTAAATAACCTTGAATAAGAAAAGAAAATGTCACTGAAAAATGTCTAGAATTAAATATTGTTTTGTTTTCAATGTACAATTATCCAGAAGTAACTGAATAAGTAAGGAAGTCTTAACCAATGAAATTGTTTGACTTCTCTAAATAAATGAGCAACTGAGGCAATAAAAATTAGATCAATACTCTTCTGTTTCTGAAGAAAGAAGAGCCCATCAGTGAGCAACAATTCCCACCTTCTGATTTTGACTCCTTGAGTGAATCCCGTGTATTAAAATAAAGTGGTGGTCAGAGAATGTGGAAGACATTTTAAGAGACGTGAGTCCCAAATAGAGAATGAGGCTTATTGAGTGCACATCCTGCTTGCTCAGATGATAGTTTTGGACTCATTTTGACACCAAAGACTTCTATTAAAAAAAAAAAAATCCAAGCAAATGTATCTAAATTGAAATTACAGCAACCAAGCTAGAGTTTATGAGGGATTATAACTCTCCGTTATCAATCACATCTAACTTGAGAGAGTTAACCAGAGAAAATAAGTGAAGATTGTAGTTTCAAATATGTACATTCTTCCCTGACCAAAACAAGATACATAACATGTTTATAAAAGCACTTTTTTTGTCATCAAAGATAAAAAAGTCATTTGAAGTCATTTTAAGTACTAACACTTTTAGTAAAGCAATCTGAGGATCATTTGTGTGTATATTTGTAACTGAAGTACGTTTTTCAACATCTAATAGACAACCTGTGTAAGCATCATCTATGTACTCTTCAAATATACTGATACCTCAGATGCTCTTCTGGGAAAGGCGTTCTTCTGGGAAGGAGCAGAGGGACCTGAAAGTTTACTATTTAGTTCAGTTGACTTCTATATACACTAATATTTGAGAAATAATAAATCTCTCCTCATGTCTTATTTTAAACCCATACTTTAAAAGTCACAAGAAACCCTAAAGGTTAAGGATGACATACCCTTCCAGGCAATCAGTTGGTACAGGGTATTTGATTAAATGAGATGGTAAACCTAGAGAGTCTGAGAGAGCTCCCAATGTCATAGAACTTGAAAAGGGTTGAGCCATAAATTAACCCCAGTTCCATCTGATTCCAAAGCTTATTTCACTGCAGAATCTTGGGTTCCAAACTAAGCTAAACAAAGCTCTAAGATCTAAGCTCTGAGAGCCTTAGATCTCTTGCTCTTTTTATTTATTATTTTAAGTTGAAGGGTTTGGATGAAGTTATTATCTCTGGTGCTATGGGATTTGGACTATTGTGTAATCTAGAGAAAATATGACTTGATTGAAGTCACAGGGCTAATGGAGGATCCAGGGAGCAACAGTATTTGAACACTTATTTAGTGGTTTTTTTTTCAAATTTATCTTTTATAAATAGTTAACTAGTTCAGTTATTTCTCAAGTCTTTGTTAACACTTTACATTTAAAAATTTAGATTCTGGCTTTGGTACCATTTATAACTATGGATTGCTGCCCCCAGATATTATACTACAGTATGGATTAAAAAAAAAGAAAAAAACAAAACCAGAAACTACAGGTAGAGAAAACAAAATAAGCAGCCAAAAGTCATCTATATTCCTTACCTTTACTATCACTGTGACAGTAGCAATACCAGGTGGCATTGTTCCATAAATATCAAAGGCCTCCACTAGAAAAGTGATACTTGCTTCCTGGTCTGGAAATGACTCATAGTCCAAACTCCTTAAAAGGGAGAGTTCTCCTGTAAATGGATGTAGTGCAAAAAAGTGCTTCACTTCTGGACTTCTTATCCGATAAGACACATTTGCTCCGAGGTCAACATCTTTGGCCTGTAACACATTAAGAAGAAGAACGGTTATATCACTGCCATTTTCAAAATAAAGAAATGCAGGACTGATGGAGTTCATGTGTCAGTACCTAGAACAACATGAAAGTTATGTTTCAGAGAGAAGTATTTTTTAAAGTAATTTACCAGATAGAGGGAGAGGGAGAGAAAGAAAGAGATCAAGTCAAAGACCGAGACTCAAGAGATTTTGTCATTGTTGATCTTGTTACTATATCTATTTTATTTGAACTATCACTGATGAAAAGAATCATACCACGGTACAGAAATATTGTCATCCCTTATATGTGAAATCTAAACAGAAATGATGCAAATGAACTTACAAAACAGAAAGAAACTCACAGACTTAGAAATTAAACTTATGTTTGCCGTGGGGAAGGGGTAGTTAGGGACTTTGGGAAGGTCAAATACACAGTTATATTTAATATGGATAACCAACGAAGACCTATTGTATAGCACATGGAACTCTGCTCAAAGTTATATGCCCAGTCTTGATGGGAGGGGTGTTTAGAGGAGGGTGGATACATATATATTTATGGCTGAGTCCTTTTGCTGTTCACCAGAAACTACCACAACATTATTAATCAGCTGTATCCCAATACAAAATAAAAAGTTTAAAGTTAAAAAAATTAAAATAAAAAGAGAAAAAAGGAAATATTGGTGTAAATGATTGTTTATTATTTTCTGCCGATTGTATAACAATGAAAAATAATATCCTAAGTATTTCACAAGATGAATAAAGACAAAATACCTACCCTCCAGATAGGGGGTTCTCAAAGAAAATGCCAAAATAAAAGAGAAATGTGTATGGACCTAGAGATTGTCATGCTGAGTGAAGCGAGTTAGAGAAAGACAAATATATACTTCTTATATGTGAAGTTTAAAAAAAATGGTACAATTTAAATTATTTACAAAACAGAAATAGAATCATGCATATAGAAAACAAACGTACAGTTGTTACCAGTTGGCAAAGGATGGGAAGGGATAAATTGGGAGATTGGGGTTTACATATAAACACTATATAAAATAAATAACTAATAAGGACCTATTGTATAGCACTGGGAATTCTTCTCAATATCTGCAATCACCTACATGGGAAAAGAATCAGAGGAGTTGGATATAAGTATATGTATAACTGATTCACTTTACTGTATAGCAGAAACTAACACAACATTGTAAATAAACTATATTCCAACATATTTTTTTTAAATTCTCATTTCAAAAAAATAATTTCCCAGTCATAAAAACAGTGCACACACACACACACACACACACACACACACACACATACACACACAAAGACAGAATAAACAAACAAAAACTGAAAAAGCAGGTTTCAATGGAAACTTTATAGATGATTATTTCATTCAGCAGTAGAGATTAGAAATTCCTACTCTGGTAGGAAATGGAATGGAGCAAAGATGGAGTGTGGAAGGTCAGGTTTTGCTAGAATGTGTATGCAGTAAAGCAAACACCTCTGTGAACTTCAGTCTTGGCCCCCCTCCAAACAATTATCAACATCACAATGGGAACAACTCTGTTAAAGCACAGATTTTATGATGTCACCTTCCTACATAAAGACTCTTATTTTCCATTTCATTTTGGATAAACTCCAATCTTCTTAACATGGTGGGGACACATATATTTTCTAGCCCTTTAGCCCCTCAGTGAGGGGCTTTCCTCTCCTCCAGGATTTTGAGCGGGTTTTTCCACTGCCTTGAATATTCTTTTTCCCCCTTGAACAACTCTTATTTGTCCCTCAGTTCACGATTTAGAAATAAGCTTTCCCTAGGAAACATTGTCTTTGCTCTCAAGATTATGTTGAGTTCCACCTATGATCTCCCAGGCTCCTTGTATTGAGGACTTCTGTGTTAATTACCAGTTACTAGTCTGCTTGCTACACCAGACTAAAAATTCAATGAAGGCAAGAAATCTTGTTGATCTTTGAATCCTTGGCCTCTAGCAGAGGACTTGGCATCCAGTAAGTTTGTTGAATGAATGACTAGAGGAATAAATGGAGAAATAATATCCTTCTCCATGGTCAGCATCTGCCTTTTATAGATTTAGTCATGAGTCTTCCCAGATGGCGCTAGTGGTAGAGAACCCACCTGCCAGTGTGGAAGACATAAGAAATGCAGGTTCAATCCCTGGGTTAGGAAGATCCCCTGGAGGAAGAAATGGCAACCCACTCCTGTATTCTTGTCTGGAGAATCCCATGGACTGCAGAGCCTGGCAGGCTACAGTTCATGGGGTTGCAAAGAGTCAGGCACGGCTGAGCCACTGAACTGAAACATATATCAAATTGAATCATAGAAAAACACAAGCTCTTAAAATCCATGCTAACAAAATTCAAGCTGTAGATTGCAGGTTGAGAAAGAGTTATATTTTTTTATTCTAAAATATACTTTATAGAACACCTATGTCAGAATTAAAGTGTTGGTAATTAAATGGAGATTTCTAGGCTAATCTAACTTACTGAATCTGAATATCCAGAGTTTCTGGTAATAATTTGACAACTAAAAGAAAGAAGTTTAGATATAAAGACATTAATAAAAAGGAGAAATAGACTTCTGGAAGTATGCCAGTTGTGTATAGAAAGTGGACAAATATTACAAGATAGTAAGTATAGCAATCTATTTCTGTAAGATACAGGGTGATTCTATACATTTGTATATGTGTAATTTTGAACTGTGGTGTTGGAGAAGACTCTTGAGAGCCCCTTGGCCTGCAAGGAGATACAATCAGTCCATCCTAAAGCAGATCAGTCCTGGGTGTTCATTGGAAGGACTGATGCTGGAGCTGAAACCAATACTTTGGCCACCTCATGCGAAGAGTTGACTCATTGGAAAATACCCTGATGCTGGGAGGGATTGGGGGCAGGAGGAGAAGGGGACGACAGAAGATGAGATGGCTGGATGGCATCATCGACTTGATGGACATGTGTTTGAATAAACGGGAGTTTGTGATGGACAGGGAGGCCTGGAGTGATGCGATTCATGGGGTCGTAAAGAGTCGGACACGACTGAGCAACTGAACTGAACTGAACTGAACTGAACTGATGCATGTATATGGGCTTCCCAGGTGGCTCAGTGGTAAAGAATATATCTGTCAATAAAGAGACAAAGGTTCAATCCCTGGGTTGGGAAGAATTCCTGGAGAAGGAAATAGCAACCTACTCCAGTATTCTTATGTGAGAAATCTCATGAATAGAGGAGCCTGGCTGGCTATAGTCCATGGGGTCACAAAAAGTCAGACATGACTTAGTGACTAAACAGCAATAATACATGTGTATATATGTACATACCTGGATACATATATATTTAGACATGTGTGTAAATGGTTTATCTGATATTTGTGTGAGCAGAAACATAAAAGAAACATAAATGTAACATAATGCACATAAAAATTTAATACTGAGTAACTTTGGAGGTACAAGGTGAGAGATTGTTAAGTTTTTAAAAATAGTCTAATGTATTGTCAATTGTTAAATATTTGACATTCACTACTTTTGTAAACTGATAATAAGTCTATTAAGGAGCGTTATTCAATTTCTTACAATGGCAACTTTTCTCTCTTCTCTCTCTAAAATAAGCTAGTTAGATAAAACAGAGTATGTAATATTTGAGTAATACATATATTAAAATTACTTATCATTCATTTGAAATTTAACTACATGTGTGTGTGTGTGCATTTTACTAAAGTCTGGCAGACCCATACAAATACCAAATTTTATACAGGATTCATGAAACAATTTCTTCTTCCACACACCTCTATTTGAAGGAAAGTGGTCCCAGCTGGCAGGTTCTCTTCAACAACGACAGTGTATGTTGAATTGGTGAACACAGGACTATTATCATCAATATCCAAAACCTTGATGGCCAGAGTAAGAGTTGAGTGACGAGGGTGTACTGCTCCATCGGTTGCCACAACAACAAGCTCATAGTAGTCCCTGACTTCTCTGTTAAGCTTCATGGCTGTGTAAATGCTCCCATTGGATGTGATGCGAAAAAGATTGTTGAAGTTACCCAAGCTGTAGTGCACTTGGCCATTGATTCCAGCATCAGGATCTGCTGCCTAAACAAAATGAAAAACAGAGGAATTCATATAGTACTCTCTGTTATAATATTTTAGAAGGGACAGTTAAAGAACTATGGCATATTTCTAACCAAATGTTTTTTTTAGAGAGAGATAAGTAAAAAGATAATGATAATGTAGTACAAAAGTCTAGGACATGAAAGTAAATTTATAATAGTTTAATGATACTCTTAATTCTAAATGAGCACGAAATTAATTTGTATCAGTAGCAATAACAATATTACATTACTACAGAAAATTCACATTACATAAATACTGAATTTTTCCTGTATTATCATTTATTTAGTAGATTTTGAACTCTAAAATTTAAAAAAGTTTTAATTAAACATAATTGAGTGATAGCTTAAGTTCCTATATTTTTTAATTCAAGCTATATATTATGTATCTATAATACATATAAAAGCACCATATATTGATAGATATAGATTACTGCGTTTAATTCTCCTAATGTTCTTATGAATAAATATCATTGGTTTGATTCTACAAATGAGAAAACTGTGGCTTATGGATTATAATGTGCTTAGACTTATGAAAGAAATAAAAATCTGTGCCTCAATTCTTAGTATAATGCCTAGATAAAATTACTTAATAAATTTGAGGTATTAATTCATGTTAGAATAAATTAATGCAAGCAACTGAGGTTTAAAACTAAACATACTCCAAACCCCAAACAGAATGAAAGTTTAGTAACTGTAAAGCAACTGCAAAGGGCTCTTCAATATTAGAATACAATCTCTTTATGATAATAGAATTGTTAATGCAATAATAAGCCTTTTGCAATCGGAAATTTTAAGTTATATCAAATAACTTTGCATTGAATAAAATAAGTAAATTTTGAGTGGCTATTCTTCGAAGGAGTTTTATGAGAATTAATATAATCTAAAACTCAATTGAAATAGAAATTATGATGTCTCATTATCAAATACTGTGCATTTTGTACTACATAGCTCTATCTCATTGTTCCTCATGCAAATTGGAATAAATCTTAGAAACTATAAAATGTAACATAACTATGCACCAAATGGCTGCTAAGGAAAGGAAGGAAAACAAGAGACTTGGCTGCATTATGAGTGAGGGACACAATAATCAAATAAAATTAATTTGTATCAGTAGCAATAACAATATTACATTACTACAGAAAATTCACATTACATAAATACTGAATTTTTCCTGTATTATCATTTACTTAGTAGATTTTGAACTCTAAAATTTAAAAAAGTTTTAATTAAACATAATTGAGTGATAGCTTAAGCTCCTATATTTTTTAATTCAAGCTATATATTATATATCTATAATACATATAAAAGCATCATATATTGATAGATATAGATTACTGCATTTAATTCTCCTAATGTTCTTATGAATAAATATCATTGGTTTGATTCTACAAATGAGAAAACTGTGGCTTATGGAGTATAATGTGCTTAGACTTATGAAAGAAATAAAAATCTGTGCCTCAATTCTTAGTATAATGCCTAGATAAAATTACTTAATAAATTTGAGGGATTAATTCATGTTAGAATAAATAAATGCAAGCAACTGAGGTTTAAAACTAAACATACTCCAAACCCCAAACAGAATGAAAGTTTAGTAACTGTAAAGCAACTGCAAAGTGCTCTTCAATATTAGAATACAATCTCTAAATGATAATAGAATTGTTAATGCAATAATAAGCCTTTTGCAATTGGAAATTTTAAGTTATATCAAATAACTTTGCATTAAATAAAATAAGTAAATTTTGAGTGGCTATTCTTCGAAGGAGTTTTATGAGAATTAGTCTAATGTAAAACTCAATTGAAATAGAAATTATGACGTCTCATTATCAAATACTGTGCATTTTGTACTACATAGCTCTATCTCATTGTTCCTCACACAAATTGGAATAAATCTTAGAAACCATAAAATGTAACATAACTATGCACCAAATGGCTGCTAAGGAAAGGAAGGAAAACAAGAGACTTGGCTGCATTATGAGTGAGGGACACAATAATCAACTAATATTCACAAAGCCTGGGATGGAATATGATGTATTTTGAACAGCATATAAGCAAATGTACATCCACCTTTACAAACACTGGGGAAGCAAGTGGGTTGGGTTTGCTGAACACTTTTGCCTTGTTTGAAATGATAAAGCCCAAGATGAAAAAGTCAAGTTTATAACTATGCACCCTATGAATGCCAGACTTTCCAGCAGGATTTGTCCCTCTGATTCATCAAAACACAAATGTCCCTGGGAAGGCATTACTTCTGAAGTTTGAAGCCTGAGAAAAGATAAGGAACTGAAGGAATGTCTGAAGAGGAGAAAAATACTGTAAAATAGTCAAAGAGCTTACATACACATATTTTCTTCTACTTTTATATCTTTCATAGAATTTGTCTTTTACAAATTATTGACAAATTAGTCAAGCTGGTCATCTTAGTGAAAACAAACAAACAACAAAATTGTCAACTCCCCCACACAAAAACAACCTAACAAAAATTACTTTGTTTTGTCTTAAATCACTGCTTAAGTAAATAGAAAAATAAAATCTGGTAACATCAGTAGGTCTTAGTTCATTAAATCAACACTATTAAACATTTCGGTAACCTTTTCTTTTGTGGGGATTTTTATGTAATTTAAATGATTCTCATTCAAGGTGTGTTTTTATCTATCCCAATATTTGGAAGGTTTATTATGAAAGAATGATTCAATTTGATTAATGTGGCTGTGTATGTATATGTGTGGAGGGACAGGGGATATTAAGTATGTACTGTTCCATGTTATGTCCAGCTACTGAACTGATATTTCTACTAGGACTTACACATCACAAGTTTATTATTTTATAGGTCTATAAAACAGAAGTTCAATAAGTGTCTCATCTGGCTAAAATCAAGGTATGCATAGGGCTGTGTTCCTTTCTGGAGGCTGTAGGCAAAGATCCATTTCTTTGCTCATTCCAGTTATTGACAGATTACAGTTCCTTGAGGTTGTAGGATTGAGATCCCCACTTCCTTTTTACTTGTCATGCAAGGACTATTCCCAATTTCTAAGACCACCCACAAAATTTGGTTCTTGGCTCATGCTGTGTAAGGTAACATATTCACACGTGGGATGTGTTGGGAATCATAATTCTGTCTGCTCTAGAATCAGAAATTTAACATGTCCTTAACTAAACTAACTTAACTTAACTAAACCCTTGATTATATTTGCCCAAGTCTTTTTCATCTCTAATTCCCTTATTTAAGTAAATGATTCTTCCACTGACCCAACAGATTACATAAAAACAAAGAAGATATTCCTGAGATCTCCTTCTATCTTCTGTGATTCATTTATTCAATAATTTCAGAACAGCATATTTAATGTGATGTATGAGGCTCAGCTTCAAGTTACAATGGTGCATTAGGTAACAAGGTCCAATATATCATGGAATTTACAGAGAAAATTCCTACTCTATTTGTAATATGCTGTTTACACCTTTATACAGTATCTCAGTCTTAACCACTTTGGGCCAAACTATCATCAACTGTGGCTTATATTACTAGATTACTTGTTAATTATTTTCTTTTTCAGTTATTTCACTTCAGAGAGGTCTTCTATAAAAGATAAATGACATTATTTATCTTAATATCCTTTAGTGATTTCAACTGTGTTCAGCAACATTCAAACAGTTAACATCACCAAGACGTTGCCTACTGAATGCTACTTTCACTATGTTCTGGAATAATGCAAATTTCTCCATCCTCCAAATTTCTCTAAAAAGTCTCTGCCTAGTGGGGGCTTCTGCTATTATATGTCAGGCTAATGCCTGCTCATTTTTCAAAAGTCAATTTAAGCATCACTTTCTCAAAGCAGTCTTCTCTGAATCATGAAATATAAACGAGGCCCTTCTGTTATACATGCCAATAGCTCCATATAACTGTACTTTATATCATATTTGATAACTTTAAATTATATATTTATTTCTAGGATACACAAATGAATTGCACTTATTAACATATATAAATAAAGATATTACTGTTGTTGTTCATTGTTCAATCTGCCAGTCAAGTCCAACTTTTTGCGACCCCATGGACTGCAGCACACCAGGCTTCCCTGTCTTTCACTATCTCCCAGAGTTTGCTCAAAGTCATGTCCATTGAGTCAATGATACCATCCAGCCATCTCTGTTGCTCCTGTCTCCTCCTGTCTTCAATCTTTCCCAGCATCACAGTCTTTTCCAATGAGTCGGCTCTTCGCATCAAGTGGCCAAAGTATTGGAACTTCAGCTTCAGCATCAGTCCTTCCAATGAATATTCAGGATTGATTTCCTCTAGGATTGACTGGTTTGATTTCCTTGCTATCCAAGGGATTCTCAAGAGTCTTCTCCAACACCACAGTTCAAAAGTATCTATTCTTTGACTCTTAGTCTTCTTTATGGTCCAACTCACATCTACACATGACTACTGGAAAAACCATAGCTTCGACTGTACAGACTTTTGTTGGAAAAGTGACTTCTAATTTTTAATACTCTAAGTTTGTGATAGCTTTTCTTCCAAGAAGCAAGTGTCTTTTAATTTTGTAGCTGCAGTGATTGCACTGCAGATCATGATCTGCAGTGATTTTAGAGTCCAAGAAAAAGAAGTCTGTCACTGTTGCCAGTTTTTTCCCCATCTATTTGCCATGAAGTGACAGGACTAGATGCCATGATCTTCAGATTTCGAATGTTGAGTTTTAAGCCAGCTTAATGAATATGCTACTACTGCTATTTATTAAGATATACCTATATAATTCTTAAAATATATATTTAATCATTATGCATCTATTGCTTGGTTCTATTTTGATTTATATCTCTTCCATTATCAGCCTCTATGCTTTTAATTAAGAATCCCAAAACAAACACTGTAGAATTATCAGAATTTCATCTGGGACTCTGATTACCTTGGTAGAACTACTGAATCCAGGTCTAAACTGGAAAATATCATTTTTAAAAACTACGAAGTAGTATTTTGTTATGACTTAA